GACAGGGTTTCTCTATGTTTCTCTAAGCTGATACTGACCACATGACCTCAGGTGATCTGGCTGCCTCAGCCTTCCAAAGTGTGAAGATTACAGGAGTGAGCCACTGTGCCTGACCTAATTTTTTAAATAGGGATCATAATATTAAAGAATTCTTTTGCTAACTAGTATTTAAGAATTCCATAATATGCAGGAAATATGTAATATTCTATTATTAAATCAGACCAAAAAGAAAACCCAAGTCTAAGTAGACAGGTAAGTAAACTGCTAGGTTCAAGAGGTGACCTTTCCATACTCTGCCTACCTACTCAAGCCCTTCTCTGGGTCAGTTATTGGGCATATTCATTACCTCGTCTCTTGCATAATTGGTGATACTTTAGAGTAAGGGGAAGATTAGCATCACCAAGACGTAATTCAGACTATTCCAGGCCAGCAGGGCCTCCTCCCTCACCTCCCACCTCCACTTCTCTGCTCAAAGATGCTAAGAATCCTACTTGCTTAACTTAATCTGCTAAAGGAAACAGTGGCTGAAGGCATGACTAAGCAGGTGTTTCTGAGTATTATGTTCACTTATGTTAGCTATTATTAACTGAAAAGGAAAAGTTCTGAGATAGATAAGCAGACTATTGTGCATTTTCCACTTGTATTTTTCAATTTACTCATGTGTTTTCAATTTTTATCACAGAAAAAATCCAAAGGGTAACTTCTCATGTTAAATTATGTCCTCTTTTCTGTAAGTACTTAGGTTTACTACTAATAATTAGTAAGACAGTAATATTCCTGGCAGTTAGATTGCCCAAGTATTGTTTTCACTAAAGAACTCACTGTATTTAAGCACAATAAAACCCTTATTTTGTTGGAATATGAATGAACCAGTCCTGCCAGGAGACTCATAACCCTGCTATGGAATAGACAAATCTTGAGGAAAAAGTTAATTGTTCATATATACAAAGAAATTAAGTTGGCCAGGCGCGGTGGCTCATACCTGTAATACCAGCACTTCGGGAGGCTGAGGCAGGAGGATCACCTGAGGTTGGGAGTTTGAGACCAGCCTGACTAACATAGAGAAATCCCATCTCTACTGAAAATACAAAATTAGCCGAGTGTGGCTGTGCATGCCTGTAATGCCAGCTACTCAGGAGGCTGAGGCAGGAGAATCACTTGAACCCAGGAGGCAGTGGTTCTGGTGAGCCGACATTGCACCATTGCATTCCAGCCTGGGCAACAAGAGTGAAGCTCCATCTCAAAAAAAAAAAAAGAAAGAAAGAAAAAGAAATTAATTCTTCATTTTACCTATTCTCCAATTTGTCAACCTTCACATTCTATCCTTTTAAATGAGCACAAAGGGGTGGTTTTACATGCATAAACACATTTACACACATGTGCACACACTTAGTGATATTTTATTGTCAAGTGCATCTCTTGCTGCAGATGAAAGAATCAAATTATGTGAATATATTTTATGTTCTTGGCAGTAATTCTGTGGTTTGCATTACAAGATGGTTTATATTATTATCAAATTTAAGCAGTTTATAGGACCCTTTTATAAAGTTATAGTTCTACATTGCTTTTATCTCTTTAATTAGACATGTATCAGTTATGAATTTTATTTCCAATTTTAGTGTTGCTAAACACTACGCACAGGTGTCAATCTTGGAAGAGGTGAAGTAAGTCACTCATGAAAGCGATTCATCTTGGTTAGGTCAGTGAAGACTGGCTATACAATTTGGATTTTATTTTCTGCACATTGTCTTGCTAGGAATTAGCAAGAAGGATTCTTCTTACCATAAATTTCTGACAATTGGGTCATTTTTTTCTTCTCCTTAGGGGAACAGGGTGCTAAAAAGACTTGAAATGACCTGGCAATCACCATTAACCCCTTCCCTTCTGAACTTCCAGGTCAGGGAGCAGTCCCAAAATGCTTTTTACTCTTACATTGAAGTCCTACTGGCCCTGTCAGGTTTCCCAACCCACATTTCACAGATGTCACAAACTTCAATGGTGTGATTTTTCTTTGTTAAGTTTCTCCAAAAGAGTTTCATTAACAACACATAAACTTTTAGAATATACAGGATTCCTTATTTAAAATTTCTCAGTTATAAAAACTGAAACAAAGAGAAGAGAAAGTTATAATTGTTAGATGTTAAAATGCTTTTAAAACACAGTAAATGCAGTTATCTAAAAATCTAGTGAAATGCAGTTAATAGTCCAGTAATCTGTTTTACATAATCTTTCATATTTGCATAGTCTTTTTTTTTTTTATTGAGACAGAGTCTTGTTCTGTCACACAGGATGAAGTGCAGTGGCACAATCTCAGCTCAGTGCAACTCCCACCTTTCAGACTCATGTGATTCTCATGCCTCAGCATTCTGAATAGCTGGGACTACAGGTGCGCACCACTACACATGGCTAATTTTTTATGTATTTAGTAGAGACAAAGTTTCACCAGGTTGCCCAGGATGGTCTAGAAATCTTGAGCTCAGACAATCCACCCGCCTCAGACTCCCAACATGCTAGGACTACAGGCATGAGCCACCTCACCCGGCCATATTTGTAAAGTCTTAATCAACATCATTTTAATCCCTACCATTAGAATCAGATAATGTAAGATAGTTATTCTGAAGATACTGAAAGCTAATCATAGCTTGCTTTAACTTTGTTTTGCTTTTGTATATTTCCCAAATATGGCATATTTTTGGTATTGTTTAGAAACACTTGTCAATAATATAAGTTTTTTTAAAAATCTTTCAAAAAGCACAATGTGTTATAAATCAGTCAATTTGCTTTCATTGTCCAAACTGAAAGAGTTAAAAAATAATTAACTTGGAGTAATAAAAGTAATCTATTTTTATTTATCATGTAATTTTTATATTGTAACACAATGTCTTTTTTAGTGAGAAAGCAAAAATATATTTTTAAATCATCAGAATACCAACCAGATAATTTTTCTTTAAAATATTTTTATAAATTTAAATGGATACACTAAATTTTTCATACATCTCTCTCACTATTTAGAAGATAGAAGACAACAAAATGGAGAATTTAGGGGAACACCGTGAGCCATTCTCCAGTAGAAGTCTGTCCAAATTCCAGTTTCTGAATTCAAGGGACAAAGTTAGGTTACATATTTGAGAATGAGGGGAGGGCACTGCCTAGCTCTGAATGAAAAAGAATCTGAATAATTTTACGCTTTCTTCCAACTAGTTCAGGAAACACACACACTGCCATCTTTGTATCACTAGAATACACCTTTGGACAATTATTCAGGAAGATTTGGCCTCTCTTAATGAAACCTCTGCTCAGCTGCTTGCTTTCCAGCTTTGCACATAAAAATTAAAGCCAACAGTTAAAATGAATGAATGAGAAGTTTCAGGAGAATTGGCTGACTTCAGAGTCTCAAATTGGCATCTATTTGACTCCAAAACTCCAAAGTCTTCAAAGTAGACATTGGCTAAGAAGAAGATGAGAACGCTGACTGATGTGACTGATTCAAGCACTGAAAGTAGAAAGGAAAGAGCGTGCAGCAGGGGACAGGAGTAGGCTGCGAGGAATCCCTCAACACTGGCCAGAATTTAGAGGGGTAATTTACTAGCAGTGACAAATCGGACTCAAAGCACAAAACACAGGCAAATCTAGAAATTACAGTCTTTCAGCAGTTGATGAAACAGCCCAATTAGTATCCAAATTTTTCTTTTATCAAAATCCTTTTGTTTCTTTTTTTGTTTGTTTTTGAGACAAGGTCTGGCTCCATCACCCAAGCTGGAGTGCAGTGGCATGATCTCGGCTCACTGCAACCTCCGCCTTCTGGGTCCAAATGATTCTCGTGCCTCAGCCTCCCAAGTAGCTGGGACCATAGGTGTGTTGCCATATACAGCTCATGTTTTGTATTTTTTGTAAAGATGGGGTTGTGCCATGTTGCCCAGGCTGGTCTCAAACTCATGAGCTCAAGCAATCCACCTGCCTTGGTCTACCAAAGTGCTGGGATTACAAGTGTGAAAAACTGCACCTGGCCTTTATCAAAATCCTTATTAAGTCAAATTTGTTGCCCAATATGTTATAATACTGTCTTGATCACCACCACCAAAGCATGCAAGTCCAAAACAGAACAGAAAAGTCCAGAGAACAATACTAATTTATTTCTACAGAGCTCATTTTGTTCTTCTATGAGAGTGGCATTTTTCAGCATCTTTGACAGTGTCCTTTCTTTCTTAATAAAATGGCCAGAATTAAATAAACATGACTAACACTCTTTCTCCCCTGTACCCAGAGCTGAGGCCTAATGGCATTTCAGGGTAGAATATCTTTCAGTGCTATGCACTATATTGCACCATTCTTTATAGCTTAGAGAACTGGGATCTTCAAATCAGCATCTTAAGTGGAATTTTGTAGCCTGCATTTTTAAAACACCCACTGCCTTCCTATCCATTTACTGTACACGTGTGCAAGTATCTTCCTTTAAAATAGTACTATCCAATAAAAACAGAATGCAAGCCACATATGTAATTGTAAATTTTCTAGTAGCCACATTAAAAAGGTAAAAAAGAAACAGGTGAAATTAATCTAAACCATATATCTTTCTTAGTCCAATATATTACAAATATCATTTCAGCATGTACCTAATATACAAAGTTATGAATGAGGTTTTCTCTTCTTTTTTTGTTCTGTATACTTGAAATCCAGTATAGATTTTACACTCCAGCACATCTTGATTTGGGCTAGCCACATTTCAACTGCTCAGTAGTCACATGTAGCTAATGACTACTGGATTGGACAGCCCATTTGTAAGGCAGGCACTTCTTTGTACAACATCTCATTTGAAATGCCTAGCTTCTGATATCTTAGCTCTCAGTTTGAACATGTTTCCCTTTACAGAAGAAATCCATACGTATAAACATTTCATGCTAGATTCTAACACATACACACACTCATTTAACATCTGAGTTTTAACAACCTATCCTGACCTTCTTCTAAATAAACCTGAAAAATAAAATATTTCCTCTCACCAGCACTTTCTGAAGGAGCATGTGAGCCTGTTATCTCGCGCATTAACCGGTGACTGTATTTAGTGCTGTCAGAGTTGCTGACTCATTGCCCATGAATGGCCCCGCTGCCAGTGGTGACTGTTTGACAGAATGCCAGTAATGGCTGCCTACAGCTGCTGAAAAGCTGACCTTGTAACAACATCCACATTCTTTTGGTTGCTTTTGCTGACATACTCTCAACTCAAAAACTGTTTTCAAACAAAAGTATAAAGAAGTATTGAGCTTCTAAAAGCAATTGTATTTCAGTTCTTTAAATTATCTGAGTGTATCAAGGAGGGCAAAAGGCAAAGAAATGAGTATACAAAAGAGGGAACCATGCTTGCAAGTTGGCATTTGAGCTACAGGCATCTAACACTTGGGTACAGTGTTCTAAGACAGCATGGACATCCAAATGATGCAAAGCTGTGTAAACTGAAAATAAAATTCTAAGCCCCCAACCATCCGAATGGACCCCTCCTCTCAGCCAAGGGTATTCCAAAGTTAATCTGAAAAACTAGTTCAGGTCATGAGAGGAAGTCGCGGGGGTCAGACATGCCTCCTTATACTTTCCTCCCTTTGGAATTCAAGCACAACTGACCAGTATTAACATTCAAACAGAGATCTTAAACTTTTTGTAGCAATAGATCACCAAATTCCAGCCTTATCTAGTATAGCATCACCTGACAGACAGCAGGCCCTGAAAGATATCAAAGTATTTTACTCTGAAATATATTTCTTTGACACATTTTGAAATAGCCCTGCAAAACTATCACTTGCGGGGAAAATCTGCATTCTGTAGAGAATCCCCTTCCCTTTGTAAGTCCTTTTTCTGATCCAGAAGAGAGTTAACTAAGAGTATGGCGCCTTTTTAAGTCTGATAAGAAACATTTACAATCTAATCTCTCCAAGCCCACTATTCGAGGCTTCATCTGCACAATAAGAACCTTGGTCTCCAAAACCCCTTATTTTAGCCCAGACATTCCCTTATGTTGATTACAGGTCTTTAGTCAATAACTTAACACTCCCAACCAATTAGAAATTCTTTGAATCTACCTATGACCTTGAAGCTCCCCACCCCCTGCTTTGAGTTGTCCCATTTTTCCTGACCCAACCAATGGTACATCTTACATGTATTGATTGACGTCTTATGTCTTCCTAAAATGTATAAAACTAAGCTGTAGCTTGACTACTTTGGGCACATGTTATCAGGAGACAGGGCTGTGTCACTGACCATTGCCCACTCATATTTGGCTCAAAATTTATCTTTTCAAATGTTTTTTAGAGTTTGACTCTTTTTGTCAACAACTATTATCTATTTTTTAACTTTCTCAGTATCATTTATTAGCTCTGTATTACTGACCTATTTGAAATTCTGTTTATTTGCAAAATTTATTTCATTCTCTACCCTCAAAACTCTTTCCCCAAGTGAAGCTTCTAAACAAAGAATATGATATGCTCTCCATTAATTAATTAGAGTTAAGATACTATTAAATACTTAAACAGGGATCAAATTAGCAGTACTTACTAGATACTGCTCTAGCTAGTAGATACATTTATCATTCACACTATACTCAACTTTACACATAAAACTTAGTGTAAGCCTTCCACCTGAAGTATTTACTGATGTTTTTCTGCTTTCTGTTACAAGTTTTTAGATTCTTCTCTGGTGACTCGCTCTGGCACTCTTGAGTCTTCTAAATCCCTACTTGGGCTGATTTCCCTGCTCCCTCTTCTGGCCTTTTTTTTTACCCCCCGAGTCTAATCTTCACTACTAGTAAAATTTCTTTATGGTTCACATCTCACATATAATAGCCAGAGTCTGTTTTGTTAATTTTGATGAGATGCAGGATGAGTTTCACATAGATAAGTTTTCAATAAACAGGATGAATGAGCATTCAGCTAGTTGTTTTGGCATGTTTTTACCACTAGAGGGAGATAAAGGCACCTCTCCATCCACTGCTCCCCTCTCTTTGCCCCCAAATGGGAGAGATGGCAGACGTTAAGTGCAGACGATAATGGTGAGTGAGATCATGGAGGGAAATTAAGTTATATATTTGGAGAAATAAAAAATGTGACAGCTTGGAAACCCTGCCAACATGTGTTGTGTGGGCTACCCAGTTTGGGACAACATTCATAAATTGGAAAATTTCATATAAATATCAGGATTTCCACCCTGACCTTGAAAATAGGAAGATGTGGCCACACTGTATCCACGCCTCTGTGTGGCAGTCAGAGGGGGCTTCTCTCTATAAACAGGGCACACTCTTCAACTCTGTCACTATCACTCCCTATTTTTCTAACACTGAGATTAAACGGAAGATGTTACTTGTTATCAAGCTTGCATCATTTTGTTGTTGCTGTTAAGAACCGGATTTTTTTTCTTTTTGTACTCAGGTCAAAGATAGTAAAAAGAATAACATAGCAAGCAAGCCTTTTGTAATTTCAAGGAAAATGAAAGAGAACGTATTTCTTGGAGATAGTAGAAAATGTTCATTAGGGTAAAATATGCAGGCACAATGTGACTGGTCTCCTTGACTTACAATTACCTATTTTCATCATTTATGTCAGCTAGATGTCCCTATGAGCTTAGAGTTGTATAGCATTCACTCAGTCTCTGCCAAGTGCTTGCTTATTGCCAAGTGCTTGCTTGTGAGAGCGCACATACCATACCCATACACCCCATCCTTTACTTTCAAGACTATCTTCTTGAATTCAGTTTTCCACATAAAGTGGTAAAAATCTGGAGGGCTGAAATTAGGGCATGAGAAAATGTTCCAAGAAAGACATGTCTTGAGTGTTTGTTGTAGGCCCAAGGCAAAAGGGGTCCCAGTGACTCCTTGTGATCCAGCTTTCTGGTTGTAGCATAGCCATTATGAAATACCTGCTTCCCAAACATGTTATGACAGGAAGAAGATTAGGGACTGGGCGATCCTGGGACCCAGTCGAATACCACTTCTCAGTTATCCCCACTAACCAATGACTGAGAAATGTCTCTCATGACTGACTACCCAAAGATTTGCAAAATTGACATGTGAGGGACAAAAATCTCAATACAGCAGGAAAAACATATCTGCATGTAGCTTGTACTCACAGAAGAATCATAGGACTAAAATTTGGGTTTAGGTAGGATAAATTCCAACACACAGTTGATATTATGATTTACTCATAGCATTGCCTCTTGATCTGAAAAAGAAATGATAATATAAATATTAGTAATGATAGTTAACATCTGTTGAGTTGAAAGTTGTCAGGCACTGTGCTAAGTGATCTCCTTTAACCCCCAGGAACGACTCCATCATTAGTTCTTCCTAATCCTTAGGAGCAACTCCTTTAGAGGTGTGAAAAATGGGTCTTGGAGTGGTTAAGTAACTTGCCCCATATACATAGACAATGAATCAGCAAAGAGGTAAGATTTATTAAGGTGGCTGTGTTTGTTAGGAGAGTTATATTAAGGTCCTTGAGTCAAGGCTCTGTTCAACCTCAGAGTTTTGTCTCAACCACTTTAATATATCCCCTTCCATTTAGGACAGTGGTTCTCAAAATGAAGACACTTTCATGGGATTCTTGAGGTAAAAACTATTTTAATAACAATTCTACCATGTTGTTTGCCTTATTCACTATGTGGGCATTTTGCACCATTACGATGGTGCAAAAGTAACAGTAAGTAAAACTGCTGGAGCCTCATTACTAGAGGTTGAAGCCCGTGGTACCAGGCTCTACTGGTATTATATTTTTTCACTCCCATTCACTTCCGGTGAAAAACAAAGTAAGCAACAGCATGTTATTAAGTCTTGGGACCGTAGATGACATCATTTTATCTATTTATTTTTATTTTTTATTTTTTAATTTTTTGAAACAGGGTGTCAGTCTGTCACCCAAGCTGGAGTTCATTCGCACAATCATGGCTTACTGCAGCCTTGACCCCCGGGGCTCAAGCAATCCTCCTGCCTTAGCTTCCTGAGTAGCTGGGACTACATACAGGTGCATGCCACCACATCTGGCTGTTTTCTTTTTTTTGTAAAGACAAGGTCTTGGTATGTCTTGCTATGCCCAGGCTGGTCTTGAACTCCCAGGCTCAAGCGATCCTCCTGCCTTGGCCTCCCAAAATGTTGGAATTACAGGCATGAGCCACTGTGCCAGCCCACATCCTTTTAATAGTGCAAGGAAATGGAAGTACACATAAAGCACTTCTGAAATATTTTGAGGTGCAATAGTTATCTCAAGTATTGTTCAAGGTACAAGTGGAACTAGTCAGTTCTTTCATAGAACATTTTTATTTGAACAAACAATGGGCAGACAAGCTATGATTATTTCAGGAGGGGTATTTGGCAAATATTTTTCTGAAAATGAATGAAGTGAGCTTGTCACTTCAGAGAAAGCAACTGATAGAAATTTCTGACAAAGACGAAATTCAAACTTTCAAGTAGAAATTAGAATTTTGAAAAGCCTGCATCTGCCTCTATAAGTTTGACAGCTTCTCAATACCTTTCTGATGAGATTTGTGGTGATATTAGCAAAAGTAATTTTTTGTTATCGAAAATAAAATATCAGCAGTTGAAAGGTCTGCCTTACTGGGTGAGCCAACATTTTCCAAATAACCAGTTCATTTTGTTATAAAATTATATATAGTTTTTTTAAAAAACCTATATTAACTATGAGACAGATAGTGAATTTGATGGTAATAGATTCTATGAAGTTCATTGATATGTTTCAGATTCCACATTCCATTTTTAGGAATAATCACTTGTTAAATTTTACTGTTTTATCAAAGAAAACGGTCCATAATAATCTGAAAGGCTATGAAAAGGCTCTACCATTTCAAACTACATATCTTTGTGAGATTGGAGTTTCTTCATATTTGCCAACCAAAACATTGCAACAGATTAAATGCAGAAGCAGATACATAAATCTGGCTATCTTCCATTAAGCCAGACATTAGGAGATTTCCAAAAAAATGTAAAACCATGCTTAATTTATTGCCAAAATTTTGTTTCAGAAAAGATTTCTGTTTTATTCAGAATCTATATGATTTATGTCACATATAATGGGTTTATCGTTGTCATGTAAATGAATTTATACATCAATTATTTTAAGATGCTC